AAGAGCTTGGGAAGCAAGCTTGTCGCTTTTAGGAAGAGCTTGGGAAGCAAGTTTGTCGCTTTTAGGAAGAGTTTGGGATGGCGCCACAACAACGGTCTCATTCCTGACTACAGCAACTGGAAGAGAACCATCTCGACCATGCAGGGCTGAGCTGTCCACCCCCACCAGACCCTCTCTAGATCTCTGCGCAAACCTTGCATCTGAACCCTCCCCTGGTTGCGCATTTGGGGCAACTGACGGCCCATCCGAATGGGAATGAGCTGCAGCCGCGGGCGGTTTGCTGGGAGTGTCATCCCTGCTGATCGGTTCGTCCGCTTTCTCCAGACCGCCCTTCTGATCTGGATCGACCGTCGTGGTAGTCGGGGGAAGCAAGACCGAAACAGGTGCTGGACATATAGCAGTTCCAGACTTCACTGATGTATCTCCGTCTGATGTGGACTTCGCTGCTGCAGATCCATCGGTTGCTGGCTTGGCCAGCAAGCGTCCATCTGCTTCAGGATCGATTGCTGAGCCTCCATCGTCTCTGGGCTTTGTTGCTGGACCACCAGAAACAGCGGGCTTTGCTGCCGTACTTGCCTCTGAAGAAGGCTTTGCCGGTAAGATGCACCACGTGTTGTCGTCTGGCCGCAATCTCAGAGGCGTGCCTGGCCTCTCAATGGTCCCTATGGCCCCTGTTTTCCATGCTTCATCATCCCAGTCAAATATTCGTAGAGGGGTAGTCGGCCTTTCTGGCGAGTCCCCTACGACCACGCCCTTTGCTGCCGACATCTTCTTCCGTCCATCTTCCGTACCTGCACCTCCAAGCGCACCTCGACCACCTTGGGTCCGTTTTGACCGATCGAGTTTTGACAAGTTTGGCCCAAGAGCACTTGTGTAGCCGTGGAAATGTGAAACACCAGGAAGCACAGCCCCGCCAGATGGGCCCGCAGCTTTGGATCGACTGCCGGCACTCTCCTTGACGTGTTTCTCCTTGCCTCTCACACCATCCACCTTTTTCGCGAGACCGCCATTCTCTCCATTAATAATCGACCTTTTCCTTGCATTTGCTTTCTTGATGTCATCGCCCGCGGTTGACCTGTATGCCTGCGCCTGACCTGTTGTCGGCAGTTTCCCAGTTTTTTCGTCCCCGCGGTCCACGGCAGCGACAGACCGTGGAGCTCCTCCCTCTTCCTTCTCAATCACCTGCACCTTCCTCTTTGCCTTAGCCTCTGGTACAAGTTACAGTTGCCGGTCAAGGACCGAATATCCGATTCTCTATACAGATCAAACAATAGCATTAACAGTTTTCAAGAATGCGCTGACGCCCAACACACATACAAACTATGCTTTTCATCTCTTTTATCAATCTCTTTGCATCTCTTATCAATCTCAAGGCTTGACAACCTCTTCATGCATTCTGTATTTTTCCTGGATCTGAGTCATCTGACCATTGACAGAATCGAACCGGCGATCTCAAGCTCAACAGCCTGCTGCCTTAACCTCTTCACGGCAGTCCACAAGGTGCGGTCCAGCTATACTGTCTATACGTCCAACCCGTCCTTTCACAGGGCTGCAATGCACTAGTCCCACTTTCAATTCCCCAAAACAAGGCGCTTCTGCATTCGAGAACACAATGTAAAAAAAAGTGCTTAACTACCGACGGGTGGAGCTCAGTTGGTACACCCATGAACTGCAGGCGGACAGACCTAAGTTCGTATCCAGACGGAACAGATGGATGAAATAATCTCAATACCGACGAAAGAGCTTTACATTGTTTACAAGTTATATCCCCTTCTTCACTCACATGATATGCTGGATCAGGCTTTCGCCCATCGTCCAAGATTCCCCACTTAACAAAAAAAAAAAGGACTCCCCAGTGCTGCCACCGGTATGAGTCTGGGTTGTGTCTCAGTCCCAGTGTGGCTGATCATCCAAAAAGACCAGCTTGGGTAGATCCAGAGTACCAGCATACTACCGTCTTGAGTACCAGCATACTACCGTCTTCCGCCGAACACAATGCACCCTCATTATGAATGCATACAAGGTAGCTTGACGGTCCTATACACTCCATTCAAGGGTGTGTTGTGTTCAGGGGAAGACGGTACGGCAATCCAAGAGGAACAGTTTGGATCATATATATTGTCACATAGCCATGAACTAAAAGAGCGCACTTTGCGAAAGAAAGGATAAAAAACAAAAAAACAGGGCACATTGAAACCATTCAATTTCTCATTCTTCTTTTAACTCCCCCTACACTGTGCCTCTCACGTACAAGGCTCGCCACGTTCATGAAGTTGAGCGCGAGCTGCCCCCATCCCCGTGTGCCATAACAGCCCACTTGTACGCTGCGAGAAAGAGGCAGAGTGAACGGGGAGAAGATAAACACGGAAGAGAGATGGAGAGAAGACAAACAGAGAATGATAAGGGAAAGTAAGGGAATGTACAGAGTGTGCAGTGAAGATGAAGGCAAAAGAGGATAAGAAAAGGGTCAAGAATGAGTCTGTCCTTGACGACAGAGAGGACATACATTGTAAGGATGAGGTGGATGAACACATGGAAGACCTAGCTGAGCAGTCTCAGTACAACAATTGCCACGACGGCTGGCATTGAGCATGCCCACCATACACCCCCGACAAATGGCATGTCGATTGCAGGCCAAAACAAAGGAAGAACGGTCACCACAAAAGACCATGCACTCAGTATAGCGCCCATGGCTGCAAAATCGACATATAGTGTCCGGATGCGGAGGGTGCCTGCAGTCAGGAACGGAGGGACTGTCCTCTGCACACATGGATGCAGAAACCATGTCATTGTACTGATTGTGACAGAGATGATGGCGGCTATACAGCCGAGTGAAACAGTGTTTGCAGCCGTGCAAAGGAGAAGGTAGCAGAGTGTTGGTACATTGTCTTGCTGCAGCACGGGGCCAGAGGAATGATCTTCGACATAAAAGAGATTGCGGACGGTCTGTTGTGGCAACAAAACAGCATCATAATGTAAGAAATCAGTGACATCAATCATGGCATGGACCATGGTGCCGTTGTCCCACAGCTCCCAGTGGTCAGACGCCCGTACAATGGCCATGTAATGGCCAGGTCCGTGCGCAATGCAGGCAGAGATGCGGGATGGAGGATTAAACCACTCACCTGCTCGAGCATTGCGTAGTTCAATAGACAGTTTGGGCTTGCAACGTCATCTGGGTGATCTGCAAATTGTTGGCCAGCAGCCAATACCTCAGAACCTCACCAATCCCTGCGGTCTCACGGCAACTGATATCTGTCTTCACATTCTCCACCGCCCGTTTTATACACCGTCAGACTTCCTTGCAATCGCCCGTCAGCTTGATGCTGATCTTCCTCAACTACAGCCACAGGATTGTAATTATACTGGAGAAGGCGGCTTTACCATTGCTCTCCTGCGAGTAGCAATGAGCGACCGCTACCCGGCAATGCCAGTGGCATGACAACCGTCCCCCATAGGTTGACCCATCGCAGTCCTTTTTTACT